AACATGGCGGGAGCGGCTTCGCACGTAGCCCCTCCCGCAGGCAGCCGGCAGCCCCTCAGCTCTTTCTACCTCGGCGTCCTGACCCCGGAAGGACTCCGTCTCCCGCAGTCTGCGCTACCCTGCGCGATGCGGCGGGAAGCCAGGCGGAGCCCAGCGCAGGTGCGGGCGCTGCGGGGCTGGGCGTGCCGGAGCGGGCGGGGGCGGCCGGGGTGGGGTTCACGGGGGGCGCGAGTGGGTGCGGAGCAGGGTGAGGAGGGTGCGGGCGAGCGGCGCCGGGGACAGCACTGAGTGAGGAGACCGGGGTGAGAGCGGGGTGATGAGGTTGGGGGTGATGAGGTTGCGGGTGATGAGGTTGCGGGGTGATGAGGTTTGGGTTGATGAGGTTGCGGGTGATGAAGTTTGGGGTGATGAGGTTGGGGTGATGAGGTTGGGGTGATGAGGTGGGGGGGAGGCGGGTGGGGGGGGGGGGGAGGAGGGGGGGGGGGGGAAGGGGGGGGGGGGTGGGGTTGGGGGGGAGGAGGTTGGGGGGATGAGGGTGGGGGGATGAGGGGGGGGTTGAGAGGTGGGGGGGATGAGGTTGCGGGTGATGAGGTTGGGGTGAGGAGGTTGGGGTGATGAGGTAGAGGGTGATGAGGTGGGGGGGAGGCGGGTGGGGGGGGGGGGGAGGAGGGGGGGGGGGGGAAGGGGGGGGGGGGTGGGGTTGGGGGGGAGGAGGTTGGGGGGATGAGGGTGGGGGGATGAGGGGGGGGTTGAGAGGTGGGGGGGATGAGGTTGCGGGTGATGAGGTTGGGGTGAGGAGGTTGGGGTGATGAGGTGGGGGTGATGAGGGTGCGGGTGATGAAGTTTGGGGTGATAAAGTTGGGGGTGATGAGGTGGGGGTGATGAGGTTGAGGGTGATGAGGTTGGGGGTGATGAGGTTGGGGGTGATGAGGTTGAGGGTGATGAGGTTGGGGGTGATGAGGTGGGGGTGATGAGGTTGGGGTGATGAGGTTGGGGTGATGAGGTGGGGGTGATGAAGTTTGGGGTGATAAAGTTGGGGTGATGAGGTTGGGGGTGATAAAGTTGGGGGTGATGAGGTTGCGGGTGATGAAGTTTGGGGTGATAAAGTTGGGGGTGATGAAGTTTGGGGTGATAAAGTTGGGGGTGATGAGGTGCGGGTGATGAGGTTGGGGGTGATGAGATTCGGGGTAATGAGAGTGCAGGAATAGGAAGTCTCAGGGAATGGAGGTCATGGGGTGAGGAGGACCAGGGCTTCGTTGCTGGCCGGCACCTGGTGGTTATGAAGCCCGGTGGCACCTGCAGAGAACCCCTGAGGATGGGCCTGGACTCTCTACTGAACAAAATCCTGAACACTTGCTTCCTGTTAGGAGATGCCCCCAGATCTTGTTTTTATTATGATTATTTTTATTTCGGACAGTCTCACTCTGTAGCGCAAGCTGGCCTGGAACTCACTATGAAGACCACACTGGGCTCGATCTCGTGGTAATCCTCCTGCCTCAGCTTCCCAAATGGTGATATACACGTGTGACCACCTGAGATCCTGTCTTTGCACAGACCTTTTACACCCATATTGTTCTCATTTGTTGTCAGTAACCATTTATTTATGTATTTAGTTTTGTTTGTTTTTTGATCCTGTAAGCCCCAGCTGGCCTGGAACTTGCTATGTAGACCAGGCTGGCCTCATTTCACTGAGATCCACCTGACTCTATTTCCTGCACTCTGCAAAGTGGATTTAAAGGCATGTGCCACCATGCTCAGCCCTTTTTGATGTATTTTTATGTGTATGAGTGTTTTGCCTGAGTGTACGTAAGTGCACCATGTATGTGCAGTGCTTGTGGAAGACAAAAGAGTGTTTTGGAACCCCTGGAGCTGGAGTTACAGGCCATTGTGAGCTACCAGATGTGGGTATGAGGAACTGAACGCAGGTCCTCTGGAGGAACAGCAAGTGTTCTTAACAGATGAGCCATCTCTCTAGCCCCAGACATTGTATTGTATTTCTTTGTGTGTGTGTGTGTTTTATGTATTTACTTATTTATTTTTTACACCCACTTCCCAGGTAGCACCCTCCCATAGCCTCCCCTCCACCACTAGAGCCCTTACACTTTGATATCCCTGCTACTGTCTGCTGTGTTGTTGGCACCCCCAGCCATTCCCCACTACTTGCCCTTATGGTGAATCTAGTCAGTCTATCTAGAGGTCTTTGTTTTAGGAGGGTCAGCTGTTCCTCATCCAGCAGTAATCAGTTGTCAATATTCCTTTGGATAAGATTGGGGTCTACTGTTCATTTTCCTAGTTCTATGCTGGGTTGCTATCTGGGAGTCCCTTTGACCACCCTGTCCAACAACTCAAAAGAAGGTATTACCTGCCTGGCATTGTTGCTTGTTATGTAGACTTTAGCTATACATATGGACTCTTACTAAATTATATTGGCCCCATTAATCTTTGGTTATATGTTCCTTTTGGGTATTTAAGGCCATACAGTTGGTCCAGATAAACCGATTTATTTTTACCCTTAAGGTCATTTGAGGATCGGCTCCCCCTCAGGGGTCACATGGGCTTGGGAGGAGCCCCTGCCTCCTTTCTTTTACCAGTTCCGCTTATGTGAAGATAAGTCATAGGTCCTGCTCGACCATGGTATTTCTTAATAATGAACACATTAAATTGTAAACTGAGTCATACATTAGTACCACTGAATTTTTCTGTATTTGCAACTGGATACAGCAATAACTGAGTCTCTAGTTCTATAACCATCATTTCCCTCATTTTGTGTCTGTGTGTATGTATGTATGTGTGCATGTGTATGTATGCATGCCTTCAGTACACGTGTCTGGAGGCCTGAGGTTGATGTTGGTTGGGAATCCTTATTTCACTGAGGCAAGGTCTCTTAATCAAACCAGAGCTCCAGATTTAACTAGTTAGCCAGCTTGCTCTTGACTCCTCACTCTGAGTTGGAATTACAGGCAAGCTGCCAAGGTCACCCAGCATTTATGTGGGTTCTCCAGGCCTCATGTTTGCATGATGAGGACTTTAACCACTGGGCTATCTCCTCAGCCTACTTCATGTTTAAAGAATGGTCTACTAACATCTACCTTTTAAAATATCTGACTTTTTATGGTTGGGTATAGTGGTCAGTGCCTTAGAGACCAACTATAGTACACCAACTTGGGCAATATAGGGACATCTCATTTCTAAAATTAGTAAATAAATGTTTGGCTTTCTTTGGTTTCAAGAAGAATAGCATGTACTGAAAGTGTCAAGGCCTGGTGAGGTGGCTCATCAGGTAAAAGAACATAAGTAACTACCTGGGGTACCCACGTGGTGGAAGGAGAGAACCAATTCCCACAAGTTGTAATGAGTTCCAAATATAATGCACATATATGCACAATAAATAGATAAATACATAAATGTAAAACTGTGAAAATTACGTACTATGTACATGACACTTTTTGAATGTCATTGAAAATCAAATAGTGTGCCAGGCGTGGTGGCACATGCCTTTAATCCCAGCACTTGGGAGGCGGAGGCAGGTAGATATCTGTGAGTACAAGGCCAGCCTGGTCTACATTGTGAGTTCCAGCCCAACTGGGGCTATAGGGGAGACCCTGTCTCAAAAAGACAAAAAAAAAAGAAAAGAAATAGTGTGAGGAGAATGTGTGAGTTCTAAGTCCAGCCACTGAATTCTGAGATTTCCTTTCCATACCTGAGAGTCTATTCTAAATTTCATTCAGCACCTCCCCTTCAAAAGCTTCAACCAGAAAAGAAGCTTCTCTCTCTCTCTCTCTCTCTCTCTCTCTCTCTCTCTCTCTCTCTCTCTCTCTCTCCTCTCTCTCTCTCTCGGCTATACATACAGTTTTTTTCTCATGCTGTCTTCACGCATATATGTACTTACATTCTCATTCATTTGTCTTTGGTAGATCCTGCAGTGTTCTAAGGAAAATATACAACTTGAATTTGCATCTTCAATACAACCCATTTCACCACTCTTGGGCTTTTGTTAAGATGAGTGTAAATCTAGCTCATGTTCTCCTTTACTGCTTTGGTAAATAATAAGTACAGTCTTAGCTCCATTGCAATATCCTGCATGAATAATTAACTACAAAAAAGCTGATAGAGTTTAAGTTTTAAAAAATTTTTATTACATTTATTTATTTATTTATTATTTATCGATCTATTATGGAGGTGGGTAGGGTTAGGAATGGGCCACGACATGCTTGTGGGCATCAGAGGACAACTTCCAGTAGTCCATTCTCTTTGCACCATAGAACCCAGAAATTGAATTCAGGTTGTCAGGCTTGGCAGCAGTCGCCTTTACTGACTGAGCCATCTCACCTGCCCAGAGTTTAACTTTTTCTTTTTTTTCAGCAACACAGAGTAATGAACTCCTTATTTATGCAAAAGCAATTAATCTCAAATGCATTATGCAAACAACTCAAAGGACTCATACTGTATGATTCCATTCTCAAAACCTCTAAGAATAGGAAAACTAGGTGCTCAAGTTAGATAGAGGTTGACAGGAGCTAAATGGGAAAAGGAGACTGACTACGGAAGGGCCCGAGGCAGGTCAAGGAGAGGTGTTGCTGGAGGAGCTGGAATGGAGGTTGGCAAGTCTGAGGTCTGACACCACAGACCCTCCTGTAAAATTCTGCTCCTCCCATTTCGCTCAGGCAGTCCTTCAAAGGGTGGAGAATGCACTGAAGATTCTGGAATCAGGGAGAAAGGCCCCCCACCCCACAGAGGTTTCCACCCAGATCCAGCCCCAGAATCTAGCTTCAGAAGACCATATCAGTATTGTGTCAGACACTTTAAGCCATGGCTTTTGTGACTGTCACGGAGGTGACATGTCTCACTGTGGCACCACATGAAATTGTCTATATCTATTTTCAAGTCACACCAAAAGGTCACATGATATGAGTCATTCCATGATTGATTTTAATTTGTACCTTTTTTTTGGTAAAGCAACCAGAAATCCCTGCAACTGATGTTTCTGTTTCATTGAATTAAGGTCCGAAGGAGAAGTCATGTCAGAAGAAACAGTCGGTGAATCACAGTTCTCCTTGAGGACAACAGCCCTAAGAGCGTTTGATCGCCCTCTGTCTTGGTTCTATTCTCTTTCCCAGGTAAACACAAGCAGTAAACATAAATTTGGGTTATGTTTCTATTGCCCAGTGTATTTTGTTTGTAGTATTTATTTCACTCGAGACTCTTTTGTTTTTGTCATGCTGGAGGATTGAACCCAGAACTTGCTAAGCAGGTGTGCTTCCACTGAGCTGGATTCCCAGCCCCTGAGGTTTTTTCAAGGCACGGTCAAAATGTTTAATCAAGTAGCTTAAAACCTACATGTTTAGGTTTCTTTATGTTTTTGTTGTTGTTATATTTTTAATTCATGAAAAGGCTGTATTTAAAGTTTTACTTATCAGGTGAATTTACACAGCCCATTTTAATTATTCTCAGTGACTTATATTAGTCCAGTATTGTGATCCTTCTAAATATATTATTTGAAAAGTACATAAGATTGACTCTTTTGACCATTTTTAAGTAGGTAGTTCAGTTGTATAATTAATCAACTAATTTATTGATTGGTTTATTACATTAATGTTGTTGTATAGCCAAACTCCAGAACTTTTTTCATTGTGTGTAACTTAAACTCATTTGGGCTTGATGGTGCATGCCTGGAATCTCAGCACTTGGGAGGGGGAGTCAAGACAGTCAGGCGAAATTCAAGGCTAGTCTTAGCTACATATTAAGTTCAAGGCCAGCTATGCGGAGCCCTGTATCAAAAATCCAAAGAAACAAAACCAAAACAAAACAAAGCAAAGCAGGAAAACAAAGTCAGGCTCTGCAGTCACTCAAAAAAAAAACAACCAATGCTGCTATGAACATGGATGTCTAAACTGTTTCTTCAAAGATTCTGCTGTCATTCCATCATGGTTTCTGAATGACTGTAATTCCAGAACTCCAGAGGCAGAGGGAAAGACCACAGGTACAAGGACAGCTGGGCTATAGAGTGAAGTCCAGTGTGCAAAAGACAACAAGGAAGAAAAGGGTCTTCGGAGACGGCTCAGTAGGTGAAGTACTAGCCTTGCAAACATGAGGACCTGAGTTCACTCCCCAGAATCAATGTTTAAAGAAATCTGGGCACAGTAGTGAGCACCTGTAATGCACACACTGAAAAGGCAAGGACAAGAATCCTTGGTGCGTGTGTTTAATCGCAGGGTGACTGGCCAGCCAGTCTGGCTGAATTGGTGAGCCCCAGGTTCAGTGAGAGACCCTGTTTCAAAAGTAGTGCCAAGAGTGATTGAGGAAGACACCTGATACTGATTCCGGGTCTCGGAAATACACATATACATGTACCTGCACACACATACACAGACATGATCACATATATATATACACAGATCAAAAGGAAAAAAGAAAGGAGACCCTGCTATCAACCTTTGGGATATAACGGAGAAGTGGAATTACTGCATCACGTGTTACATGTATTACATGCATCTCTGGGCAGGTGGCCTGGGCTACATAAAAAGCTAGCTGAGCAAGCCAAGAGAAGCAAGCCAGGAAGTGCATTCCTCCATGGTCTCTGCTTCAGTTCCTGCTTCTAGGTTCCTGCCTTGAGTTCTACCCTGGCTTCCTTTAATTATGAACAGTATGCTGTAAGCTCAGTAAACCCTTTCTGCCCCAAGATGCTTTTTCTCAGGGCTTTATTACAGCAATAGAAAGCAAATTAGAACACCGGATATATGGTTTCCAATTATTTCCTTCCATTCTCTGGGTTGCTGTGTACTGTGTTGTTAGTGTGCTTTATTCCAGAGATGCAGGGATGGTTCAATATATGTAAGTCAATAAATGTCATAAATCATATAAATGGACTCAAAGACAAGAACCACATGGTCATCTCAATAGATGCAGAGAAGGCCTTTGACAAAATTCAACATGCTTTTATGTTTAAAGTCCTAGAGAGAATTAGACTGGAGGGAACATACCTCAACATAATTAAAGCCATATATAACAAACCCACAGCCAACATCATTCTAAATGGAGAAAAACTGGAAGCATTCCCATTGAAATCAGGAACCAGGCAAGGCTGTCTACTATCTCCACTCCTTTTTAACATATTTTAAGACTGGCTAAGATTAATGGAACAAATGATACCAAATGTTGGAGAGGATGTGGGGAAAGGGGAACACTCATCCACTGCTGGTGGGGCTGAAAACTTCTTCAACCCGTATGGAAAGCAGTGTGGAGAACTCTTAAAAAGCTACAAACGAACCTACCATTTGACCCAGTTATACCACTCCTTGGCATATACCCAAAGAACTCATGCTATTGCAGAGACACTTGTACATCATTTGTTGCTGCTCTTTTCACAATAGCTAAGAGATGGAAGCAAGCTAGGTGTCCCTCAATTGATGAGTGGATAATGAAAATGTGGTTCATATATACGATGGAGTTTTACTCAGCAGTAAAGAAAGATGAAATCATGAAATTTGCAGGTAAATGGAT